CGGGGCCCCTTCCCGGCTGGCCCCTCGGGTTGCGGCGCCCCTCCCTGTGTGTGGGCCTGTGGGCGCCCCAGCTGCGAGCCCCTGGGCCCACCCGCGTCCGTGGCCCTGGCACGGAGTAGTGCTCCTTCGTGGGCGCCCAGGACCCTGTGCAGCTGCGCCCCCGATCGGTCGTGAGTGTCGGGCCAGTCTGGGGCGAAGGAAGTGGCCGCCCACGCCCCCACACGGAGGTGGCAAGTGGAGGGCTCCCGCAGGGCCTCCACTCCAAGGGCACTGCTTTTTCCCTGGTCCCTTCCTCCTGCTCGGGGCTCCACGTGGGAACTCCTTGTCCCCTGCCTCCTCCCTCTGCGGTGGCACCTTATTTTCCCCAGGTCACTCTGGGGTCTCCACTCTAATGACTGCGGGGGTGCACCTTAGAGCACAGGTGGTGTTCACAGGTTCGGTCGTGGTTGGAATGGCACATCGGGAGAGTAGGTGCTGGTAGATACGTGTCTGGGCTGGGGCCCTGCTCAGCTGCCTGTCCAGACACGTCGGGTGCACCCCAGAGGTGGCAGGACCTGTTCTAGGGGGGTGGCCTTGGCCCCAGGCACTGCCAGCTTAGGGATTCAGCCTACCCAGCACCTTCTAATTTGGGTGCGTGGTTGTGAGATGCTGTCAGCTGTTGGCCCTGCCTTTGAGGGGCTAGCCCTGCCTCCCTAAGTCAGTGAGAGTGGAAGTGGACCTCTGATAGGGCTCTTGAGCTGGCCTGCGACAGGTGAGGTGTTGATCACTGTCCCAGGTCTCCTGCTGCCTGAATCCCAGGACTCAGCAGTCAGGCCAGGCTGAGCAGGCCAGCCCAGGAGCTCAGCCAGCGTGTCCCTTTCTGACAGTTCCACCTGCCTTTGGGCTGAGGTCAGGCTTCTTTGGCAGGTGGGCAGGAGCGACCACAGCACCCTGGACAGCTATGACGGAGTACAAGCTGGTGGTGGTGGGCGCAGGTGGCGTGGGGAAGAGTGCCCTAACCATCCAACTCATCCAGAATCACTTTGTGGACGAGTACGACCCCACCATTGAGGTGAGCTGGGCACGGACCTGGATGTGCGCTTGCCCGAGAGGCATGCACGCAGCCCCTCCAGGAAGACACACACCCACCTTGGGAGGACACACCCAAGTCCCCAGGAGAACAGGATGCATGCAGCCCCTTGGGAGGACACACGCAGCCCCCGGGGGGGACAGGATGTATGGTAGCACCAGGGAGGATGCACGCAGCGCTGAGAGTGGAACAGAACGGACATATGTAGCCCCCCGGAAGGATGTAACAAACCCTGGAGCACGCAGCCTGCAGTCTAAAGACGGGCCCGCCTGGCCCGGGGTGTCCACAGTTTGGCCCGCTGAGTTGTCTTTCACAGCTCTGTTCTGTGGTGTGGACACTGCTCTTTGGCGGTTCTGGGACCAGGTGGGCGGGAGGGACCCGGTGGTTGTAGGGAGAGGCTGCAGATGTCAAGGCTCATTGATGGTGGAGGAGTCCTTGATTGCACGCCCCTGCAGGACTCATACCGGAAGCAGGTGGTCATTGACGGGGAGACGTGCCTGCTGGACATCTTGGACACAGCGGGGCAGGAGGAGTACAGCGCCATGCGGGACCAGTACATGCGCACAGGGGAGGGTTTTCTTTGTGTGTTTGCCATCAACAACACCAAGTCCTTTGAGGACGTCCACCAGTACCGGTGAGTGTAGCCAACACCACCCCGCATCTGGATCTAGCCTGAGGGCAGTGGCAGCTCACGCCTCTCTCCCTGCAGAGAGCAGATCAAGCGGGTGAAAGACTCAGATGATGTGCCCATGGTGCTGGTGGGGAACAAGTGTGACCTGCCTGCCCGCACCGTGGAGTCTCGGCAGGCCCAGGACCTGGCCCGAAGCTATGGGCTTCCATACATCGAGACCTCCGCCAAGACTCGTCAGGTGAGCCCTGCTGCCCAGAGCTAGTCAGGGACCCCTGGGGCTGTGCTCACCGCCCTTTCCCTCCACGCAGGGCAGCCGCTCTGGCTCTGGCTCCAGCTCCGGGACCCCTCGGGACCCCCCGGGACGTGTCCCCCAGCGGCCCCCCATGCTGTAAGTCCCTTGGGCAGTAGGGTGGGTGTGGCAAGGGCCGGAGAGGGCTCCTGGCCCTGCAGCCGAGCTGACATAGCCCCTGGGGAGGCAGGGGGGCCCTGGAGAGAGCTGCCCTGAGCCAGGCCAGAGCGGTGGCCCTGGGGGCCCTACCCCCTGCCCCTCCTGGCCGTGTGAGCCTGTAGCGAGGCTGCAGACTTGGCCATAGCTCAGACAAGAGCTGAGGGCTAGGTGGTCACCCTGAAGCCAGATGGGTGGCGGTGGCGCTCGGATCCCCTGACCTGTAGGCTGGCAGGGGCCCCAGAGGGTGTGAGTGTGGGGTGGCCCTCACTCCCCACTGAGCCGGGGCCTTCCCCAGGGCGTGGAGGACGCCTTCTACACTCTGGTGCGGGAGATCCGGCAGCACAAGCTGAGGAAGCTGAACCCCCCAGATGAGAGCGGGGCTGGATGCACCAACTGCAAGTGTGTGCTGTCCTGACGTCAAGCTGGGTGAGCAGGCAGGGAGGGTGGGGTGAGCAGGTGGGGAGGGCTGTGTGACGGGGGTTGGGCTGAACCAGGTGAGCTGATTTGCAGACAGGTGAGGTGGGCAGGGGTCTGTCAGGAGCGCCTGTGGGGCTGGGTGGCGTGGAGAAGAGCTGTGGGCTGTGGGGAGTGCCAAGCAAGGAGGCCTGTGGCTGCTGGGAGCTGAGTGAGGGTGGCTGGGTGAGGAGTTGTGGGCCATGTGGGGGGATAGGGAGGGTGCTAGATGGCTGGAAGAGGGGGTGTAGACTGTAGGGGTCTGAGCAGGGGTTGGTGGGGGGCTGTGGACTGTGGTGGTCTGAGAAGAGGTGGGTGAGGGGCTGTGGGAGCTGGGCAGGGGTGGATGGGGGGAAGAAGAGAGAGCTCCAAGTCTTGGGGGGCTGGGTTGGGGTGGGCTGAGGCCTGTCTGGGGGGGACGGCCAGGAAGAGGTGGGCAAGAGTGGGTGGGTGACTGTCAGGACTGGGGGGAGCTGGGCAGGGAACTTGAGGGGACCAGACAGGGTTGAGTAGGAAGCAAACTGAAGCGGGATAGGTTGGGGGCTGGGCAGGAGACTGGGCCACGGAGGTGGTGTGGGGTAGGGAAGCCACACAGGGAACATGGGGTGTAGGAGCAGTGGGGGACACTGAGGGAACTGAGTGAGGTGGCTGAGGGGCTTGATTGGGGTGCTCAACTACTCCCTCCCTTCCTCACACAGACGTGGAGGTGCAGAGGGAGAGACCTGGAAGGAAGCCAGAAGGAAATGGCTCCAGGGCCCAGGCAGCCCGAGAGAGTGGACAGAGGTGACCTCAGACCTCCCACCGACGCTTTGCACAGACTGTCATGAACTGAGCCCTCCATCCCCCCACCCCTTGGGTGTAGGTGGGATCCTAGTAAATTATGGGATGGTATGCTCTGGACTCGACCTTGGAGTTGTAAGGCAGGGGTGGGGACCCCTCGGCCCTTCAGCTCTGCTTGCCCTCCTGCTCCAGCCCCTTTGGGCAGGTCAGTGGGAGGCAGAGTGTGGACAGCACCGATGGAGAAGGCGCATGCTTCCCATCCTCAAGCGGGCAGCCTTCTTGGGGAATGCTGGGACCAGGCACCATGGAGTGGCTGTTTTGGGGTTTTCAAGCTGGAGGGAAGTTGTGGAGCTGAGGACCTGCCCCATGGCCAGCACTGGCCCAGTACCTGTCCAGCCTGCTTTTGTGTGCTGGCCAGGGAGCAGCCCCGCTCAGGGACAGGGTCCTCAGAGCCGCACATGAGCAGTATGGCCAGGCCCTGATGCAGCCATGGATTAGATGTTCGGCTGGCATTGGCCATCCTGTCCTGCGACCACAGTCACCTGTCTTGCTCACCGTGGCCACTGGTTGCCCGTCTTCTGGGCATGCACAGAGCAGGGCAGCTATACTCTGCTCTGACAGGGCCTGTGCCCATCTCTGGCCAAACTCAGGAGTGGCCAGGCCCCCAAGGTTCCCTCCCGTGGTTGTAGAGCTATGCGCCGAGGTTTCTGCCTCCAGAGAGTCCATGGCCTGGTGGTCAGGAGTTCGTGTAAGAGACCTGATCAGCAGGGGCGAGTGAGACAGGATGGGCAGGCTGCAGTCACTCACTCTTCATCTGCTGCAGGACTAACGTGGGGAGTCCGAGGCTGCTGGAGCCACAGCAGGGCCTGCGGGGAGCCCCAGGAAAGCTAGAGCTGTCACTGAAAGTCCTCAGAGTTGGGGATCTGTCAGTGGCCTTCTGCTGCTCCCCATGTCTAGGGAGACCTGTGGTGTGTGTGGTGGGCTCTGAGGGCCAGCACACTGCCACTCCTCAGCACTGGGGACTGACAGGCAGGGCCCTTGTGTGGGGAGTATATCTGTCCTCTTTGGCTTTGAGGACAGCTAGGTGGAGGTCTGGCAAAGAGCACTGTGTGTGGGGCCCTGGAGCTAAGTGGGCGGATGGGGCAGGACCAGCCGGGCCACTTGGGAACACCGTGGTGTGGGAGGAGTGGGGCAGTGGGTGATCTTCAGACCCAGGGACGTCCTGGGGGGTCCTCAGATGCTGGCTGCGGAGAACACAGCAGAGGACTGGGTCCTCCTGCACCACGACCTCCCTCCCCATGACGGTCGCAAGCACTCAGCTCTGCTACCTTTGGACTCCCCCAACTCCTGGAGGCCCTGCTGGGTTCTGGACAATGAGTGAGGGAGCCCAGTGGAGCGTGTGCATGCCCCAGGCTACCCTGTCCTTCAAGCAGGTGGCACAGGCCTCATGTTTGCACCCCTGCCCTGAGCTTTTCCCTAGAACATCCAGGAGGAGGGTGGGCCCTGAAGCGAGAGGTGCCCTCCCCCGCCCCATAGGAGCCTGGGGTCAAGTTTGTTGAGGGCCCACCCTGGCAGGGTGGCCATGGTGGCCATACTGGTCCTGAGGTCACCCACTGAGCCAGGCAGGTCCCATTTCTTGCGCTCTTGACCAGGGGCTAGTACTGCCCAGCCTCACTCGGGACAGCAGGTATTTCTGATCCTCCTTCAGACAAGAGCGCCTTGTGCTGTGGGACCCAGCAGGACTGCTCAGGCCCCTTGTGTTGCCCTCCATTACCCTTCCCCCACCACCCTCTCACGTGGCCCTGCCCTACGGACACCTCTTGCTGTGGTCTCCTGCTGGTCAGACCCAGATGTCTGAGACCGTGAGTAAAGAGGGAAGAGGCAGCCCCTAAGTTCATCAGCCTCTCTCTGGTCTGTACAACCGCGTCTCGGGCTCCCTTGGATGCTGGAGCAGGGTCTCCCTCAGACAAGGTGGGGTGGGCACCTCTGGCCGGCTCTGTGTGACATCAGTCCTGGAAAGTGGGCCGTCCTTGATAGTGGACTGTCAGAAAGATGGACTGCAGGGAAGTGGCCCATCAAGGAGACAGGAGTGCAGGGAGGTAATCAACCATGGTGGTGGGCCGTCAGAGGTGGATACTCAGATATGCTGCTTAGCGAGATAGACCTTGCAGGGAGGTGGATGGGGTGGCACCCCAAGTACCTGGCTTCAGGACCCTGCTCCTTGTGTGAGTGCAGGGCTCGGGCAGGTCCCTGGCCCCTGCCCTCTGGCTCGAGTGGAAATAGGCACCAATTTAGGCACAGTGGACGGATGGTTCCTGAGTACGGAGGGATTGGGAAGCCAAGAAAGACCCCAAGAGAGGTGGGGAACAGTGAGGATGAGTGAAGGCCAGGTGGGGTGGACAAGGGTGCAAGAGGTAGCTGGGGGCCCAGGGAGTGACCAGCTTTCTGGACAAGGGCAGGCCGACTGGAGGCTGGAGGCGGTGGTGTGTCTGCCAGGGCAGCTCACTGAGGGCGGGGTAGTGGGGTGAGTAGAGATCTGGACAGGTAGGCTGGGTGGCCCCACTTGGCACAATTATGCCCTGGCTATTCAAGTGGCCACTTTGTAGCTAGGGCTGTATGCAGCTGCTGGCTGGCTGGCCAGTCCACCTACCACAGCTAGAGAGACTTGGAGAGTCAGTGCCAGAAGGGATTTGGTCTCATGGGATCTCTGAACAACCTTGCTTGCTGGAGCTATTAGCCCTCACCCCACACTCCTCTGTATGAGTCTTCACTTTCATTGGGCCCTGGAGGGCCTGGGCTCCTTTCCAGAAGCCCTTACTAGCTCTGCAAGGCAGGTGACCGTGACAGACACAGGCAAAGTAGGGGCTCCTGACGCGGAGCCTCAGAATTGCCAGCCAGGGCAGCAGTGGCAGGCTGGGTTCTCTGCAGAGAAGCAGGTTCGTGAAGGAATTGTGGTGGTGCACTGTGCAGCTGCTGACTAAAACGTGGACAGTTCAAGTCTGCCAGAGAAAGTGGCAGGCTTCTCCCTGTGACTTTTCAGCCTGAATAACTGCGTGCAGTGAGCTTTGGAATGTATACATCTATATATACACATATAGGAAGCGCTGTTGGCCTAGTGGTAAGAAACTCTGCAGTACTGAAGGCATGTGGTTCAAATCCACCAGCTGCTCTGCAGAAAAAAGATGGACCATCTCCTGTGCGATTAACAGCCTCTTAAAAGGGTCAGCTCTGGGCCAGTTCTGGCTCAGTGATGATGTTGTTACGTGCCATCGAGTCACTTGCAACTCATAGCGACCCTATGTACAAGAGCTCTAAACACCGTTCTATACTGTGCCAACCTAGCCATTTCAAACACACTCTATTCCCACCACTCCAGTCACAGAATTGATCCATCTCATCGAAGGTCTTCCTCTCCTTCGTCGCCCCTCCACTCTGCCAAACATGATGTCCCTCTCCAAGGACCAGTCCCTCCTTGCAACATGCCTAAAGTATGTCAGACGAAGCTTCAGAATCCTTGACTCCAAGGAGCATTCTATCTTCACCCTCTCCAGGACAAACCTGTTTGTTCTCCTAGCAGTCCATGGTATATTCAACACTCTTCTCTAGCTCCACAGCTCAAAGGCATCAAATCTCTATCATCCTTATTCACTGTTCAACTCTCCAATCCATAGCACATAATTGCGAAGACACTAGCCCAGATCAGGCACACCTTAGTTTCCAGCCTGATGACGTTACTCTTCAGTACTCCTGAGAGGTCACTCACAGCTGACTCTCAATGCAATTCATCTCTTGATTTCCTGGCTATTGTTACCAAAAGTGTTGACTGTGGAGCCAAGTAAATGAAAACTGTTAACTATCTCAATCTCTTCACCATCCATGCTGATGCTGCCAATTGGCCCAATGGTGAGAATCTTTGTTTTCGTGATGTTGAGCTTCAATCCATATTGAAGACTGCAGTCCTTGACCTTCTGCAGCAAGTGCGTCAGGTCCTCCTCAGTTTCAGCAAGCAGGGTTGTGTCATCTGCATAATGCAGGTTGTTGATGATTCTTCCACCAATCCTGATGCCACATTTCTCCTTGGACAGCCCAGCGTCTCGGATGATCTGTCCTGCATACGGATTGAAAAGGTATGGAGACAGAATACATCCCTGACGAACCCCCTTTTTGATTTTGAACCATGTAGTGTCTCCT